CCTTTTCTAACCCGTCCTTCCTCGGGGGAAGACAGCATCGCTGTCTCCATAAATATGGACATGCTGGTCGCCTGGGGGAAACACCTTACTGCCTTCACACTCCTATCTCAAAGGAGAGTACGATTTTACCCCCAGACCGTCTCGTACCACGATTACTCTTAGTGCAGGGTCTCGCCGCTCTTGGTCTGGCTGCTCCTCTTTGGCCTTCCTGGCATGGTTTCACCTTGTGGAACGAAGTTCCAGCCAGTGTAGCCTGCGGGATCATTGCAGCACTCAAGCCCGACCACCACGTCAAGGTGGCAGCTTTAGGTCGAGCACATTTGTGAGAATTTCAGGTTACTTTAAACGCCAACAAAAGACTTTGCGAATGATCCGTGAGGTTCCCAAAGCCCGGTTCAACTTTTTCTTGCCATGTTAAATAACTGAATCCAATGGCCAAAAAGTGTATTCTTTTGACGACGGTGGTTTTTGACCTGCAACATTTCACAGTTCAGTGACGCATCAATAGACAATATGTACCCAAATCCTGTTAGGGGCCACTGCCTTTTCTGTTATCTCCTTCTGGCCTTCGTCTTTGTTTCTTGGATGGTTAGAGGATAAGATATTGATCGGTTGTAATGACCAGGTGACGGAAACTGTAAACAGTGTGATGATTTATCACGTACTACACTGTGCTCTCTGAGTCGTCTCAAGAGTCGTTTATCAGTCAGACAGACAGGAGTACCCATATGGGGTGAGGTCGGGGTACGATTTTCTCCTAAAAAGAATACGTTCACAGCCATATGATTATTCAAGTGCCAGTTTGCTAGTAGTGGGTTACCCTACATGCCTGTTTTCTAACATGTTCCCAGTGTTCTTTCTTGCTGGAAATAGGTTAAACATGACCAACCATTGACGAATCCAGGTTTGGATAGACTAGTTGGGCATCGAATGACTGAAGTAATGACTATAATAAGAACGAAAAATTGTAATTTCTTCCTGTCAGTGAATCTACACTGAGAGCACACAAGCACTGTACAGCCGTTTCATCCTTGGTAAAAGTCATCAGTGGCGCGCTTTTCAAAATACTTTAGTGACTCTGGAACCCAAGGCATCTCCACTGGTAGTTCTAACATTTGAACTTCAGGCTATGAGACGCTGATCAGCATCGTGATTAACTAGGTCTTAGGGCATGACGACATTTGTGAAATCTACGTGATATGCCCAAGCGTTGCTTGCTACTCGAGTAACGACTTCTTAGATTGAAAGTTTGCTCAAGATGTGAGTTATTCTTCCTCAAAGACACAATGCTGCTGTTAGTGGTAGCGGGGTTGTCGATACTTCATATGTTCTTGGAAGGGATTATTCTCCAACTGGCCACTTCGATCACCATTAACAGCAGCAACAAACCAGACCTGGATAGATAGAGAGATAGGTAGGTAAATACAGTAGATAGATAGGCAGATGGATATATATATATATATATATATATGTATATACAGATGGGTAAATATATAAATGGATGGATAGATGGAGAGTGGTTGATAACATTATTTGGGAGGCTGTCGGGCGTAACGTTGTTTGTGCTGAAAAGGCGGAAATATTACTGAATTCCAATGTAAGAACAGTTTTAAATGCATGATACCTTTGCCATATTTCTTCTGCTTTTTTGCTTCAAACTTCAAATTTAGCCCTCCGAAGAGAATTTCCTTTGCACGGCTCTAACTGATCTTTACGAATTAAATTCGCTTCTCTCAGCAAAAAGATCCCACGTGAAGGATTCCTTTGTGAAATTCGTGAACGCCGTAATTACTCAATATTTGTCACACACAAAGTAAGCTTCGCAAAAGGATAATCTGTCGTGGAATGAAACCACTGAATTGAAATTACAGTTTCAGCCCTCTTGACTGTTATCCGTTACGTGGCCAACCAAGATGGTCAGATGACGCATTTGAATATTGTGTGAATATTGTGAATCACTCTACAAAAGCTTTTCCTGACCGCTTCAAGGTTATGCTACAGTTTTGTGCACGGATCAATTGGAACACTGAATCCGGTAGAGCGAATCAAGGTTAGAGAATAACATTTAGGCATTATGGAGTCCAGTGATTTGCATCACGTTTACTTAAGAGAAAAACGGTATTTTCACGAACAGTTTTGTTGTTACGGTTTTTTCTCGGCCTTATTGAAAAATAAATCCAAAGTCATAAAAGTTTGAATGGAACAAAACTGAGACTGTGGACAGATTAATCTTGAGTTATGGACACATTCTCGTACATTATTCACATGGGATCTTTGACGAGTACACAAAACGGACTGTTTTCCCCATTTTAAACTCGCTGGTGGTCTCTGATTCATTTTTTGAGGTTTATTTACGCAGCTGACTCTAAACTGCCTCCTGAGGAAACCCCTGAGACCTGACAGAAATTGAATCAGTGTGTTCAGTGATGATGCAAGTCTGGTTTCTCGACTGTCCCTTGAGTGTAAGAATGAAACTGGCAACTATTGTTAGGAACTGTCTGACCGCACCCTGCTGTTTACATCCATACAGCCTTGTAGTGTGCATCGTAATGACACATGTCCAAAACGTGGTCACTCAACATGATTGTTGCTGTCGGTTTGCATGAGTCATTGTCATAACCATATATACGCCCTATCCACAAACGTCAATATCCGTTCCTCGCCTCTTGTTGAAACACGCCTAGATGACAGTCATCGTATGATCGTAGAGTTAAAGAAATCGTATGCGCATTTGGTGTCTACAAGAGTTGAGGCATGCTGCCTTCTGATTGGTTCCCGTAGGTGACCAATCCACTTGGACTTTCATGCGCGCCAGAAACGAGGGCGATCGCCATTCCGAGCGCTAAAACAGGAAAACGCTGACATGTGACGCTTAAAAAGCTGGGACAGTATCTACAAATGAAGTTCTCTCAAAACCTAGATATGGATTAAATTTGTTATCTACCTTCTACAGCTATGGAGCCTACTGCTGCAATTACCAAATTTTACACGTTTTGTGGATAAAAAGCGGACGGCTTAGCTGATTTGGATATTAGAGAAAAAGTACTTCTTCTTTATAACAAAACATTGGTAAGTTTATTGATCGAAGAGTTGAAATTTTCACTATTCTCTCGCAGTTTTTGAAAGCACTAGTGAATTAAAGCAAAGCAAACTGTACCAAATGCTCATACTCTCTGGCACCTCTACTTGAAAAAATAGTGTCAGCATTAGAATGCAAAGGATTTTTTTTCCAGGAATCTTAACGATCATATGTGAGTAAAAACCAACCGTGTTTTGGTTTGCAAAACATGCGAATGATGGTCAGTCATAGGTATGGTGTAGTGCCATGCCGCATGTCTCAGTAAAGTGAACGACCATTGAAACTCATTAGGTGAGCACATAGAGATCAAATACTGGACCATTGGGTTAAATATCTCGATTTGTCTTGCGGATCGCACGATTAGTGAGTAACTCGCGTATTTCGTAAAATTCAGTCAAGAATGCACCTTAATTTTGAAATACCTCGTCACTTTTTTACGCAATCGTCAGTTGGCAACCCATCTAAAATCCGTAACTTGCGTTTCCAAACGTCCAAGTGTATGAGGTCACACATTTTTCTGTCGAGTTTCGGTATGTTTGGGATATCCATCAAAAATGCAGTAATAAGATTAGATAGCAAAACTTCAGAAAGTTGTGCAAGTTACGAAAATGTCTGCCGTTTTCAAACTTGTTACAAACTTGCAAGCAAGTTTGTATGTGGTACGCTCATTGACTAGTCACCAGTCCTGACAGGTGATCCGATTACTGGCAAGCCGTTCACTTACGTTTTACAGGGTGTATTGACAAACTGCTGGTCGTACCCGAACGAAAGCCTTTGTTTCTATCACGACTTCAGATATAATGAGCTGTTGGTAAGAAAATGCATTTCACGAAATTCCCTGCATACATTGCATCTAACTGATGAGACAGATCAATCCATAACTCAATGGGTAGATCAGGCGATTGAGAAGTGTCTGAAAAGTGGAAGTGCAAAGGTGTCGAAAATTATTGAGGCAAACTATTTGATAAAATAAACTACTCACAAGATTGCTGAATGCTCTCCGACAGCCCAAGACCGGTTTTGTTCTTCTTGTGGCTCATCAGTCAGGCGCGGTCCCCGAGTTTCTGTCAACCTTATGTTCTACTTGAACCCAAATCGGACTGATTGCGATAAATACACTCACTTGCAAATCAGTTTAGTCAATGTGTCAGGATGGAAGGATGTTTTTTATACTTGTAATTTCTTCTTTTAAAAATGACAAAAAATTTTACGTGTTCATCAAACAAAACCCCTAAAGCTTTCCCGACAATGCTCGTGAGTCGTAAGTGTGAATCCCTTGAAAATCGCACTCAGTAAGCCTTCCGACTTTTAGTCTCCACTGGATAATTCGTTCAAGTCGACGATGGAGTTAGTCAGGAAGTTGATAAATAGGAGCCCTCATTTACATCAGCTGTACTCATCTACTGCAAAACAAGTTGTTTTTGTCCCAGCTAACCTATGCTGTAATATTTTAACCCCTGTTTGAAACACTGAAGAATCAAAATCACCCCATCCAGTCTACTTGACTCTTTGTCCTTGTGAGGAGTTTTCCAAATCGTAATTTAGCAAGTTCACTGACCAGAAATAAGCCGTCTTCATTCGAACCACCAAATGTTTTCCGAAGTTTTGTGCGTGTCTGTTTGGTAATAAATGGACGATTTTCTGAGACTAACATGTGTTTTTTTCTACGTACGCGCGCTTTAACGTTTAAAGGCTGAAATGAATCAGCTGATTGTTTGGAAGGGAGCTATGTGGTCAAATAAATGATGATTTTAATTGGATGTCCATTTTTCATTAGTTTTATTCTGTTCAATCATTGAGGCATATCTAACCAATGAAGACTCACGTCCGAGCCAGTTAACTCCCGAAAAACTCAATGTTTGACCAGATTTCTATCGAAATTTGTTGCCATTGGCAACCCCAAAACCATGCATACCAAATCGAGAGATGAGGGCAGATGTAGTTCGTCCAGTTGAAATTGTCCAACTGTCAATCATTGGTGAGAAGCGTAGGTTGGATTTTGAGACAGACATCATAACCTAAGAACATTGGGGATAGACAGCAAGATAAAGCACGACGGTTTTACTTGCAAATGAAGGCAACCTCTCCCTTTCAAAATGAATCACCCTCAGATGGTCGTTTGAAATCAGATGGTTGCATTTAGCATGCCATTATCACATTTCTATCTATCAGAAAGTGGTTTTCTGTATTATCCGCGAAGCTCGTGTCAGGCCAGGATGTCCAAAAGTCCATCTCGGAGACCAACCTGGTCTCTTCATTAGAAAGTCTGGTATGAGTGGGGGGGGGGCATGAGAATAACTATGAAGTCTAGCCGTCATACGAGAATTGCACAGAATTTGCCCTTTGTGTTTATGTAGAGAAGCGGCCAAAGAACGTCAGTCAAAGCTTGTCTTGTGGTCGACATGCATTGTCTGCGAATAGTTTTTTTTTATTGGAGCAATGACTGCATTAGGTGTCGCCGAATTCTCAGCAGGAGTACTATTTTGAATGCAAAGTTTTGGACTATGGTGATATAACAAGGAACTGAGATGATTTGTGTATCCCATGCACGAAAGAATAAAATGTAGCGGTGAATTTTCAGAGATGATGATAGGTTTTAGGTGAACCCCAAAAGTGACAGTGGGCTGTTGACACTGTCGTCATTTGAGTAGTATCATATCGGAGAAAGATATCCTCAGTAACTAAGATGGCGAAACAATGAAAACATAAAAGGAACTTTGCGCAGCTCATCTGGCTGAAAATATTACAAAAAAGGAATGTTAAAAATTCTCCGTTAGGATCATCTTCAGCTGCGAATGAAGAGCTCAGTATGTGTACATAGTGACTGTATGTGTATATAATGGACAGTGATAGTTTCATCCCATTTAAATTAGTTGCATATGGCGATTTAAGCCACCATCATAGCCAGCAAACATTCTTCCTTTTGATGAAGCCTCTTGTTTGAATTGAACGTTGACCATACCGCGCATATCCTCTCAACGTTGCTCGATTCGGCAATAGTGTAGTCGATTTTGTGTAAGCACTGTCTTCAAAAAAACCGCGAATATTATAGTTGACGTTTCAGGCCAGCCAATCGTTTAGATGTTCAAACTCATTCACTTGCTGGATCACGATCAATTTGAGTTTTGGCGAACACCAATTTGGTTTTAACGGGAGACGCCAAATGAAACTCACGCCCATGGTATTTTTCAGTCAAATGTGTTGCATAGGGAAGACCTCACAACTAAGTCTTATTCCAGCACTTGAAGCAGGGTTCTTCGGTGAGTTTGCTGAACATTTCGAAAGCCCACGACGAATTTTACTTATTTTGAGACCCTACTTGAACACTAAATGTTGCGCAGCTTGCAAGATGCCCTCATCTGCAAAGGAAGTTTAAGGGAGTGTTTTCAGAATTCGTAATTCAGTTGCGTGCAGTGCGCAATGGTGGATTATTTGCAAGCATTTTCCCGGCATGTCTTGTTTCCTGAATCCAAACCACAGAATGGGGAAAAGTTACCGTGTGCTGAGCTCTAACTGGAGCGAAACTGTGGTTTGAAGTGCTCTGTGTGGAGTAGCCAAAGTAGAGCAGAATTAGGGAGCGTAGTTTATACGAGCACTACTCCAACGAGAGCGATGTAAATATGAATTCCACCTTGGAAACTTCAACGGTACAAGACGAAATTATAGCATCTTGAAATGAATATTTTTCGCAGCATATATACATCACATCTATTTCTTTGAGTAAACCGTTGAGCGTCAGCACGTGGGCGTTACACGAACCAATTTGGAAACACTTTCTGAAATGACAGAAGTCAAACAGAACAAGTTGGTCGCAACGTTTATCTAACACTTTTGGGACCATCGAGTAAAATGGTTTGAAATATTTGTGATGGGCTGAGGTCATTATGTGTCATTTTTGTACAGGAGTGTAACATAATCAGACATTTTAAAAACGACAACCAAAGTTTGTGAATCAATTCAGTGTTAAGCTGTTTCAGTTATCCTGTCACGGGGGGGGGCATGGTCGAAAGTGTGAAAAAAGCGACTTCACATGTGATCTTGATTGCAACGGAACAAAGCTATCAAAAGAATAGTGGTTGTTTTCTAATTATGCGGACTGAATAGTCCACCAAAAAAAAGTGAATTCCAAATACGATTTGTTTGGACTTTTTCTGTTAACACTATAACACCCCCAGTATATTCATGCTTCGATAGTTTGTTCGCTTGTCAGATGCTAGGACCATCCAAATAACTGGATATATCTGCTGGAAGCATAATGAAGAGTGGCGCATGGGGTGTGTACTTTTTATCAATGATGCACCATAAACGTGATTCCCTTTGCGACACACATTAGCGTCTGTCAGATTGGGCGATGATGGGGCTGTAATGTGAACGACAGAAAAAAAAGTTGGATGAGAACCGCTGATCGAATGGTGTGGGTGCTGCGCTTATCAAAATTAAGACAGCTATCACTGCGTCCTCGTGTAATTCACTGATTACATGCACCTGTGCCTCATACACGCAGATTACGTGTATAGGTGATCTAAACCGGTTCGCCACTGGCGAGCTTGTGCAGTTACCATACTCCGTCAGTTTGGCAGTGTAAAAGTGATAATGGGATTTTGTTTGCCCCCAGTAAGTTTCTATAATTTATTTACAATCTTTCCGTATAACAATCAAATGGAAAGTGACAATAACATCTAACCAAATTTATAATAGTCAATAACAACAATATTGTTGAGGGCGACCGAACGGAGGTCGACTTTAGAGACGTGCTGGGACTGTTGGTTACACTGGTAAATGTTTTTTAATCTTAGGGTGCGGAGTACTTCGGAATTTTGATAACTGCATTTCTAAGAACACACTTGATGGGGAATGAGTTTGACACAGTTTAACGTGCTTCTCTCTAAACAGGATCAAAACTGCCCACTGATTAATTTGAGAACTATTCAAAGTACCCGCCACGCAGTGGATCATCAACTGAAAACCAAAAGTCAATGCGCCATTCGTT